TGTGATTTAGGAAGGTTAATAGGTATGTGATTGCTGAAAGCTGGGAGAGCATGCCAGCAATGGTTCTGTCCTAACTCTACAGTCTTCTGAGTATCAACTACAGGGCAGTGTCAAAGAGAGGATGCTGGGCTAGATGTTCTTTTGGTATAAGAATAACTATGACTATAGTAAATCCAGGAATGTGATTATTTTTTTTTTTTTTTAATGAGACTTTCAGCCAGCTTTCTGACCAGAAATATTCAGAATATAATGATTTTAAAATTGAATATAATGATTTTAAAATTTTAAAGTCAGGCGCTCATATTTTCCGAGTTTGTGGTTGTTAATTGTTTCTCTTACAAATAAAGGATATCCTCAGTGGTGTTTTGTTGCTAACATTTGAGGAAAGTCTGCAGTATTGCTAGCAGTAGTTCATGTCTCTATCATGAAGTTTTGCACTGGTAAAATAGGCGTCTTAGAGAAATCTTCCAAAAGCTTCAAAGGGCTCAGAGAAAAACTAGCAGGATCAGCTCCCTGAATCATGAGTCAAAGTCCTCTTTTTAGAAGTCTCCAAATAATCTTAATTCTATAGTAAGTGAATGGTACTGTGGCTCCCAAATGTTTTGGAGACCTTGAAGATGAGACTCAGATTTCTGAGGGGCTTAGGTGCTTATGAAAATGCTGACATGAAAGGAAAATGTCAGAAGGAAGGAAGAGAAGATCATGGGAGGAAGTAGACAGTGGACATACTGTTCTTGACATTGACTCTGTGTAGCATTTCCACTTTTGTATCTTCCTGCTTGTGGTTTTGGTTTCAGGTACCCTTAGCAGACCTTTCTCCCTTGATGGTGTCCAAACAGGATGCTCAATCAGAGTAGCTTCTTTAAGCTAAATACTGCGGGAAGCTCTGAGCCAGATCAGGGTGAAATACCAGTGGAGCTAGTTTAAAAAGGCCATCAGATAAATTAAATGAGAAACTGAAAGCATTTGTTTATTTAATAAATAAAACATCCATCTTTATCAACTGTAATGTTTCCTACCCTTTGATACTGTTCCACACTACCGCTCTTTAGAGGATCTCATCTTACCAAGATACAGAACACAAGTTTGATTATGTGAAGGCAGTGGGCCAAAAAGCTAGAGGTCTTATGCAAATTCAGAAATGCATTAGTTTGCATAATGCTGCTAATGTATAGATATATCTATGTATGTATGTATGTATATATGCATCCATTATCTCTCTTTCTCTTCTCAAAGATAATTCTCCTTTCCCAGCCTCTCCCAGAGCTGGCTCTTCCCTTATTCCTTGTTGTCCTTGATGATGACTGTCTGATTTGAAGTCCAGGCCTTTACCACCCTGGAAATATAGGTTTGTCACTCTGGTCTGAACTCTGTATAAGCGATTCTAGCTCTTTTGCTGATTGTTATCTTAACTATTTATTTGTGCTGGTAAGGGGTAGTTAAGGACTGTGGAAGCTGAGTTAATTTTAGATGCTTCCATCAGGGAGTGTCTTTGGTAGACAGAATCACAGGACAGTTCTTTGTGATGAGTGTTACAGAGAATGGCTTAAGGACATGTATTTACTTGCTCCTAGTTTTTCTTCTCTTTTTGAGGATGAGGGTTGGAGCAGCCATGTGGGATAACCGTCTGAGCTCGGCTCAGGTGAGAACCTTTTTCCATCATTTTGTGAGCTTGGATTGTGTAGGTTTGCTGAAACCTTGCTCCAGCTTCCACCCTGGGGTCATCAGTAGGATTTTGAGGCTCAGCTGTCCTGTAAGCAGTAGATAATGTACTCTAGGAATCAGCAGTCGCGTGGTGAGGCCAAGCTGGATGAAAGAATTTTCGCTGGATAAGGAGCCCAGGACATGGATTTTAATTTCAATGCACCAGTTTGAAGGAAGGGAGACCTGCACCTGCTGCCATGGGGCTGCTGCCCTCAGGAAGGCAGCCCTGGTCCTGGGTAGGATGACCAGGGGCTGATTTTGTGCAGAAGTTTGCCAAAGAAGACATGTCTGTTTGCTCTAAAAAAAAAAAAAAAAAAAAAATCATTTTTATAAAGAGTAGAGTAATAAAGAAAGTGAGATTTGTATTTGTGCTCAATAAACTCAAAAGTTTTAAAATGGGTTTAGTTGGGGCTTAGATTAGATGTGAAGGATTAGAGTGAAGGAATTTTACATCCTTAGTGACTTTTTCCCTGTTATCTAGAATTAGGCTCTGGGGTGCAGGTCTCCAGCAGGTGTAAACTGTCACATAGAGTGCCAACAATTAAAACTCCTGAGGATCCACCCTCAGTTTTTCAAAACAGCAGCCTGGTTTGACATGTAGAGCCTCCAAAACTGGAGCCAGAAGAGCTTTATTGAAAACCTGGCTATTATTTTGGTGTTTACACGGAACCTAATCTCTAGAAAATCTGGTCCAAAATGCAATCTCACATATGCTGCATTGCCGATGTTTACACATTCAGCTGGGTAACTTGATCTGCGTTGAATGAGGGTTACACAAACAATGAAAGAAAGAAAAAGCCTCTTTGGCAGATATTTCATTTGTGAGCTTTGAAAAAATTCAAATACACGAAGGAATTATTCTGCCAGATCTACCAAAGCTTGAGCTCATTGGAGTCAATGGAGTTCTCTCTTCTAATTTCAGAAGACATTTTTACCCCATTCTCTAAACTGGGTTAGTAATAGGCTGCTCATAAAGTGACTTCATTGGAAAGAAAGTTTACCAAGTAAATATTTTCCAGGCAGCCATGTCCAATAGATTGCTTGGTATGGTGGATAATAAGCAATACTGCCTTTTAAAATGGCAGTAATACAAAGTGCTCCAAAAAGCCTGATCCTAGTAGGACAGGCCTGAGAAGAGAAAATGTTAATCCTACATCACCAGGCCAAGTATTATTGGAAGGCATGTAGTATGGAGATGGAGACACAGTACTCCTAGATCCCAGCTGCTCCCTTTCTTCAACGCCTTCTCTTCATAAATGCATATTACAATAATTTTGAGGCAAGTAATTGAAAACAATTAGAAGAAATTCCTCATAGTAAAACTTTTAAAAGAGTTTAAATTGTAATAACTTTTATTCTAGCCTATGGATTTTGGGCTTCGTGGTAAATTGAGCTGTCTCTTTACGGAAGTGGTAAATCACCAGCATTTGCTCTCAGGAGCAGAAAGAAAATGTTTATAAATCATTGCATTTGTTTCAGATTATTCATCAGAGCTGGAAGGCAATTGTTCAAGTTGCTTTATGATACTATAAACAGAACACTGGGAAGGCTGTGTACTTTGTAGCAAAATTTTGGGGTTTGTACATGTAACAACTGATACTTTTTCCTTCAGTAAGTGTTCAGCTAATCTTCCAGGGAGGAGGATCTAGATTCCAGTATGCTGTTTTGAAGGAACTAGTTTGAGTTAGCACTAATAGGGCAGCAAGGCCTGCTGACTCACAGAGGAAGAGTCTCACAAAGTTGTCTTATTTATCTTTTCTTCTTATACTGCTATAGGCAAGGAAAGTCTTCACTTCTTTTCCTATGCCCTCCCAAACTACTCTGATGGGGTTATGAAAAGGTTCAAATCTGGAAGAGGGTAAGAACTGAGGACAGGGAGGATCTTGATACAGAAAATTTGAGGCAATAGTGCTTCACATTTCCTGGTAAATAGAAAAAGGAGAAGGACTGTCTACACACTTGCATTGTAGTTCAAGAGAGGAGACTGCCTGGTTTCCCTGGGTACTGCTATAATTACCCTTGAGCTTTTTGTCTCGAAAGAGCTACAATTTCTGTCACATAAAGCGCAGGCAGCACACTAGCACAAACAGCAATAGCAGGCATAGCCAAGCAAGCTACCAGAACTAGCCGGTGTTCCAGCATTAGTTACCAGCTGAGTTTCTCCAGCATTTCAGAGCTTCCTGGCCTTGCCTGCAAGAGTACTGGCAAATGCAGCTTGGTTTTACCTTAGTGTATTGTGGCCAGTCCTGGAGGAATTAATTAATTAAAAACTCAAAGAGCAGTGCCAGCTCTTCTGAAGTTTTGAATATTGTGGATCATTTAGCTTTGTTGTGGTTCCCCCCCTACGCCACCCCCAAAAATAAAATGAAAGCAAAACAAACACCAACTCGTTTGCTGACATGTTGGCAAATACTGTGAAATAACTAACTGGTTGCAGAGTCTCCATAAAAATGGAAAACATGTATTTTTTTCAGATGGCAAGTTGCTTTTGTCCAAAGAAGAGACAGAAAATGGATATGATACACCTTTTATGAGCAAAATGGGAGACTTGCAAGGTTGAATGTGGGACGGGTATCTTTTAGTGGCGGTGGTTTCCCAAAGCTGAAATGTATGTCTCTGTTAAACACAACAGCATAAAAACTTTTATACCAAAGAGAGGTGATGGGGGTAGGCAGGGACCCTCAAAACAGCCAGTAGCTAATGCTGCCTTTGTGGTTTTATATATTTGCCTATTAAAATGACAATACAGACATGGAACATTTAGGTTTAAGAAGCCTTCTTTTCATTAAACAACATTAAACAAACTGACAAAGTAGGGGGTTATGACTCCAGTAATTGAAACATGCTGTTCTGTTCAAGACCAGAACTCTATAAAGACTCTTTTCACCCAGTAATGCCCTTTGTGTTTGCCTGCTACCCCTGCTAGAAATTACTGTAGGCCTGAAGTATGTCTTTCCAAGTGGAGTGGGAATGACAGAGTGCAACACCACACTTGGCAGATGGGGTCACAGCCTTTTTAGGACGTTAACATTCATTGTGCGTTGGAAATCAATTTGCAGCCCTGAATGCATGGAGACTTAGCTGGACTCCCCTCCCCACTGTTTTTTTATGTTAACTTTAAACCTGGGATGCAGGAAAAAGAATTAGATGGATTAATTTGGATTAGCTCTGATGGGGTTTGGGTAGTTTTCATTAGCTTAATTTACAGTGTGCCTTTTTGTGGATCCCTTGCTCTTCTAGAAGTATGTTCTGAACCTGTACATTACCTTGCATTTGTTTTTCCTTCTCTCTTCTAGATGTTGATGAGTGTCAGGATAACAATGGAGGGTGCCAGCAGATTTGTGTAAATACTATGGGAAGCTATGAATGTCAGTGCAAAGAGGGCTTTTTTCTGAGTGATAACCAGCACACCTGCATTCATCGCTCCATTGGTAAGTTTTCAGTGTGTAAACTGTGCTCTTTAGGATAACTGTGTTCAATCAGAAATGCAGAAACTGTTTGGGGAATTTTTTTTATCCCAGAGCTCTGAAAATCATTTCACTGGCTGGTTGGAATTGATTGATTCCTCTGCTACCCAAACTTGTAGCAGAGCCATAAATAAGAGAGGGGAAAAGGTTTTAGTTTGACATAGAAATTATACATGAGTCAAACATCAGGCTCTTTGGGCAGGCAGAGGCAGATTTTCAAATGGCAGCTTTCTGCTTCTGAGTTTCTAAGACTTCAAAAATTCTTGTTTATTTATTTTATAATAGTTCACCTGTCTTCCACCTTAGAAAGCATGGTATCTTGAATCAAAATGAACAGCTTGTTGCTTCTGGAAGTTATACAGGCTATGTTTTTTTTTGCCAGGCATGTAGCTCATTGCTTCATTGCAGACTGGTGATGGCTGATACTATATTGACACAGCATTTTTTTTTGGTTCAGTACCCTGTCCAGGGTGGATTAGAAAACTGCTTCTCTGTTGCCTATACACTAGCAGTAGAAACAAGGAATCCCTGCAAAACTGTGATCCTTGTCTGCTGCTGATTTTGACTAGAACAAGCAGCTCTTCCTTTTCTATACGTGTCAGACATGGAAGACAAGTTTGAGTGGAAAGGGAGAAAAGAAAACAGCATAGCTATAAATCTTTGCAATTAAGTGGACTCTTTGTGTGTTCATTCAGACTTCTGGTGACCCTGGCAGCAATGGGAATATATGCTAGCAGACTCATTTACCGATAGGCAATACAGAATGACAAAGTAGCAAGATGAGTCTGGTGATCAACAATGTAAGCAAGCTGTAAATTTCAACAAGCCACACAAATGGTTCTGAACTATTTTAAGTCACTAAAATTAAGCAGAAATACCTACTGAACATAGAGAGTGAGTTTAGTCACTCTGTTGACAAGAAAGCAAAATGTTGTAGTGTAACATCTCAGAAATGTAAATGTATTTTGGGCACTGTGTGTCTGCTTACACAGAATTATAAAGACAAATAGTAATTTTGATTTTCATAAGTGTGAATCTCTGGAGTATATTCACAGGTCCACGTTTTAGCATGATTATTAAGTTTTAAGTGATTGAGGTATTTTGATTATGACAAGAACATATAATTAAGGTCCATCAACCAGTGCATTTTAAAGGTTGTTACCTAATAAGTTTTTAGTCATTCTTTTCAACATAAATTGGTCAAATTTCTGTCCAGCGTAAAGTAACCCTGACACAAAGATATCCAACAGAGCAAGGAATAGTAGCTGGAGGCTTAATGAAAACCACTTGCAGAGTACTGCAATACAATCATTATTTCAATTTGCACATTATAAAAATTCCCAGCTGTAATAAAAGAGAATTTAGTTACCTGAGATGGGAACTAATGAAATAAATGAAAAATGAGACTCTAAAGGCAAAAGTTTCTTCTAAGGAAAAGATTTATTGAGGGAAAAGGGTAAATTTTTATGACAAAGAGGGTTCCTAGTTTGCCGGAAGGACTGGGATTTGAAGGTTGACTGCTGTATGCACATAATAAATATGCATGGGAACCATATATTTGTGCTAACTTGTTTACAAAGAAAATGTCATATAAGACATGGATGTTTAATTTGAAGCAACATCTTCAATTTTTTTTAGATCTGAAAAAATCAAGCAACCTACCAAATAGACAGATGGTGATTGTAAAGTGTTTTATGAACAAACGGTTTGTAGCTTTTCAAAAATAAAGTGCCAATTTACAGTACCAGCAAACATTACACTGTAGTGCCATGATCCCTCACAGAAATACATCAGGTGGGTATCCTGGAGGAAGGAAATGAGATGAAATGATCTCTTTCAGTTGTCAAAGGTGACTGAACTGCAAATAGTAAACATGTCTGGTGAGAAAGTAAATGGCTTTTTTAATAACTGTGTTTACTCACTTTCATCTGTCTCACTTGTAAGCACCTCTACAGAAACTGTTGGAATGCAAAAATATGCATCAACATATTTAGCCAGAACTGTGCCTAGGGCTAGATTGTGTCTATACCTCTGTTGGTAAACAAGGCTGAAGTGGACAAAGGCACACCACACAGCCAGCATTGCAGTCCAAACACAAAGGCGCTGACTTGCCAAAGCCCTTTAGCAAGCTTGTTGACTTTGAGCATAATAAGATCCATTAATTGCAGTGGGATTACTTTTCTGTCTCTGAAAAATGCATGTGCAGTCACACAGTCTTGGTGTCCTTGACATTACCTAGTGTCTTCAAGGACTCAGCTAGTCTAAAACAATCAACTACAAGGTTCTTCATGCAGGTTGCTGCCACCTTTTCCCTCCTGTTTTCAAGTGCATTGGGAAAAGGGGAGAAGCATTGCAAGGTGCTTAGAATTTACTTGGAATTGGGATGAGTTCAGAATGCAGGGAGCAGTACCAAGCCTAAGCATTGCCCTGTCTGCAGGCCCAGCTCACCTGCATCGACCGTCAGGAAGGATGGTGCTGATCATGCTCTTTGAGCTCATCAGCACATTCAAGTGATGTGGTAGTTTCAGAGTTGAAAAAGAGCATTGGATATTCTTTTGGGGATTAAAAAGAGGAAGGAATATAACCCTTTTTGCACTAACCAGACTAGGGAAAAGTATCTTCTGGTATGAGGCACCCTCCTTAAAGTTGTTGGCTGCTGTGCGAATTTCCTCAGCTTCCAGAGATGCACTGTGCCTGTCCCAGTGTTTTGGGGGTGTATTGTACCACCATGCTCCTACCCACAAGCTGTGATTAAAAGCCACACTGGACTTCATAGTAGGGGCTTTTAATATCATCCTTATGTCCCAAATGATGTGTTTGCTTACCATCTAGAATCGTTCTTCTTATTTCCTGTGGACAAAAAGGATTAATGATTCACAGAGAAATATGGATTTTATACCAATGGGAGGCCAGGCTGACATTAAAGTCAGGGCAAACCCTGGTTTCTCAGTGTTTGCTTTGTTTCATTGCCTTCATTATAGGCCTACTTATTTTGTGTGTTTAAGCTCAGTATCTTTTGGGAAGATACTAAGCCCAGTAAAACTTACCTCATTTATTTTTGCATAAAAATTTCTCTTTGCTGAGTGAGATGTCAGTAGTAGTTTACTCACAATAATGATGATAATGACGGGGCGAGAGAATGGGAGGGATAGTGGATTGTAAAAGATGTAGAGAACTTAACCGTTGTTTATCTTAGTACCTCTTAATTGCAATAGTAGGTGCGAAGACTGTGAATTATACCAGAGACAATGTTTGTTTGTTTCCTCATGACTTAAAAAGAAACCAGAATGAAACAGCTGTTACTGTATCATCTCCAGCTCCAGAGGGAGCATGTGTTTAATAAATGTGGAGATTAGTATTGCACACTACAGCTGTGACTGAGTCAGGTGAGTGGGTTACAGCATGTTTTTCCATAATTTGATGATAAGTCAAAAGCCCCAATTTAGCAAAGCCTCTGGGCGCATCCTTAAAGTCCTAGTGATAGCAAAGTTGATTAAAAATCTGAATTGGGCTTAAAAAGCATCAAAATAGAGTTTAGCTATCAGCTATAGTTAATAGCTATGTCTTTATCTCCGCTGAAGTTTGAAGTGATCAGAATGAAGGGTACGGTGTGTCCCATTTGCATTACAACTGTGCAAGGTATTGTGGTCAGGAGCCCTGGCTACAAACTGCCTCACCAACCTAAATTCTCAGCTGAAGCCTTAGAGAAAGCCATTGCTGTCCCACCTCCAGAGGGCAAGTCTCCTAAAGCACAAAGGTTGTTTGCTTACAAGCCAGCTATTTCGTAAGTTCTATGGCTAGGAAGACTTCTGTCATTTTCGATTCCATCCCCTGACTGTCTACCTAAAGCATGGTTATATTAGTGGTCCTATATCTGCTAATCATTTGCTGATAATGTTTTTATACAGCTAGTACCAAGTAAACTAAAAAGGCAGGTGCAATTAGGAGCGGTAATTTTAAGCGGAGACAAGAAGAGGTGGAGAAGTACCAGGCTATAGAAGGCTGGAAATTATGATGGTCTGGTCAAATGGTGGAAAAGCTTTTAACACGGTTGTCACTATCATTTTCAAGCCTGTTAAAAAAACATTTGGCAAGGAAATGCTTTTTCACTTCCCCTTATCCCGTTTTCCTTATGTTCTTAGCAAAGTTAGGGAGTTTGACATAAAGTCAAGCTACCACAACTTAGCAAATCCCTGTGCTACAAACAGAGTCTCAAAAACCAGCTTGTCTCTTTCTGCACTAAAAGTGTAACAGTTTAGTCCTAGAGGAAAGGGAAACATGCTAAGCCAAGTTGTCTCGCATTTGTCATGGGCTAAGTGGGCTTCTGAAATGGCTTGCCATGCTTGTGCTGATACGTAGTAACTTGCTAAACTTGATTATATGTTTAAACCCTTGTTAACTCTGGAGTAGTAGCATAGGAGTCCTTCGGTCAGCTGATATCAAACTACCTCTTGTTCTGAGGATTATAAAAACACCTTCCTTCATTTTTTTCATTCTTACTTTCCGTGATTTATTTGTATTTCTTACCTGTTTTCTTAGTTCAGTGGGATTTTATAGCAGTAGAATAATGTATTAGGACTCCCTGGGAGGAAGAGTGATCCCAGGTCAGTACAGGAAAGGTTACAGGTTGGGATTCTGGACTTTATTCCCATCTCTGGTGTTGGTGCCCTGTGGGACTCTGGGCAAGAAGGTTATTGTGACTCAGAATTTCTGCAAAGCACTTTAGAGGACAGAGGTGCTTTTTCTACAGAAAGCACAATAATCTATTCATATTTAGATTACTGTGGAAGGGTGACTTTAAATAATTAAGTGTTGCCAGCACCGTTCCAGACTTTATGAAGTACAACGTTTCTCATCTCAACTATGACAGCTCTTTCATGATGATGTAACCAGTTAAATTACCCTATTACTTGAATATACTTTGCCATAGCTACCCTGAGTACAGGCATCCCATTCACTGGAGC